TGGTGACCTCAGGTGACCTCGGTGACCTCAAAAGGTAAACTTTACGTTTTCGCCTATTGCAGCCATTCTATAACCCAGGAACTACTGGGCTGATCGTGACGAAAACACCACCAGTCGATTCCGCGTATGCGATTTCATCAGCCGTTTCGAATTTGGTGACCTCAGGTGACCTCGGTGACCTTGGGAGGTCACATGACCAATGTGGCCTATGGCAGCCATTCTATAACTCAGGAACTACTGGGCCGATCGCGACGAAAACACCACCAATCGAATCAGCGTATGCGATTTCATCAGCTGTTTCGAATATGGTAACCTCAGGTGACCTCGGTGACCTTGGGAGGTCACATGACCAATGTGGCCTATGGCAGCCATTCTATAACTCAGGAACTACTGGGCCGATCGTGACGAAAACACCACCAGTCTATTAAGCGTATGCGATTTCATCAGCCGTTTCGAATATGGTGACCTCAGGTGACCTCGGTGACCTTGGGAGGTCACATGACCAAAGTGGCCTTTTGCAGCCATTCTATAACTCAGGAACTACTGGGCCGATCGTGACGAAAACACCACCAGTCGATTCAGCGTATGCGGTTTCATCAGCCGTTTCGGATATGGTGACCTCAGGTAACCTCGGTGACCTTGGGAGGTCACATGACCAATGTGGCCTATGGCAGCCATTCTATAACTCAGGAACTACTGGGCCGATCGCGACGAAAACACCACCAGTCGAAACAGCGTATGCGATTTCATCAGCCGTTCCGAATATCGTGACCTCAGGTGACCTCGGTGACCTTGGGAGGTCACATGACCAGATGTGGCCTATTGCAGCCATTCTATAACTCAGGAACTACTGGGCCGATCGTTACGAAAACATCACCAGTCGATTCAGCATATGCGATTTCATCAGCCGTTTCGAATATGGTGACCTCAGGTGACCTCGGTGACCTTGAGAGGTCACATGACCAATGTGGCCTATGGCAGCCATTCTATAACTCAGGAACTACCTGAGGTCTACCTCAGGTCACCTAAGGTGACCATATTCGAAATGGCTGATGAAATCGCATACGCTGAATCGACTGGTGGTGTTTTCGTCACGATCGGCCCAGTACTTCCTGAGTTATAGAATGGCTGCCATAGGCAACATTGGTCATGTGACCTCCCAAAGTCACCGAGGTCACCTGAGGTCACCATATTCGAAACGGCTGATGAAATCGCATACGCTGATTCGATTGGTGGTGTTTTCGTCACGATCGGTCCAGTAGTTCCTGAGTTATAGAATGGCTGCCATAGGCCACATTGGTCATGTGACCTCCCAAGGTCACCGAGGTCACCTGAGGTCACCATATTCGAAACGACTGATGAAATCGCACACGCTGAATCGACTGGTGGTGTTTTCGTCACGATCAGCCCAGTAGTTCCTGAGTTATAGAATGGCTGCAATAGGCGAAAACGTAAAGTTTACCTTTTGAGGTCACCGAGGTCACCTGAGGTCACCATATTCGAAACGGCTGATGAAATCGCATACGCTGAATCGACTGGTGGTGTTTTCGTCACGATCGGCCCAGTAGTTCCTGAGTTATAGAATGACTGCCATAGGCCACATTGGTCATGTGACCTCCCAAGGTCAACAAGGTCACCTGAGTTCACCATATTCGAAACGGCTGATGAAATCGCATGCGCTGAATCGACTGGTGGTGTTTTCGTCACGATCGGCCCAGTAGTTCCTGAGTTATAGAATGGCTGCCATAGGCCACATTGGTCATGTGACCTCCCAAGGTCATCGAGGTCACCTGAGGTCACCATATTCGAAACGTCTGATGAAATCGCATACGCTGAATCGACTGGTGGTGTTTTCGTCACGATTGGCCCAGTAGTTCCTGAGTTATAGAATGGCTGCCATAGGCCACATTGGTCATGTGACCTCCCAAGGTTACCGAGGTCACCTGAGGTCACCATATTCGAAACAGCTGATGAAATCGCATACGCTGAATCGACTGGTGGTGTTTTCGTCACGATCGGCCCAGTAGTTCCTGAGTTATAGAATGGCTGCCATAGGCCACATTGGTCATGTGACCTCCCAAGGTCACCGAGGTCACCTGAGGTCACCATATTCGAAACGGCTGATGAAATCGCATACGCTGAATCGACTGGTGGTGTTTTCGTCACGATCAGCCCAGTAGTTCCTGAGTTATAGAATGGCTGCAATAGGCGAAAACGTTAAGTTTACCTTTTGAGGTCACCGAGGTCACCTGAGGTCACCATATTCGAAACGACTGATTAAATCGCATACGCTGAATCGACTGGTGGTGTTTTCGTCACGATCGGCCCAGTAGTTCCTGAGTTATAGAATGGCTGCCATAGGCCACATTGGTCATGTGACCTCCCAAGGTCACCGAGGTCACCTGAGGTCACCATATTCGAAACGGCTGATGAAATCGCATACGCTGAATCGACTGGTGGTGTTTTCGTCACGATCGGCTCAGTAGTTCCTGAGTTATAGAATGGCTGCAATAGGCGAAAACGTAAAGTTGACCTTTTGAGGTCACCGAGGTCACCTGAGGTCATCATCTTCGAAACGGCTGATGAAATTGCATACGCTGATTCGACTGGTGGTGTTTTCGTCGCGATCGGCCCAGTAGTTCCTGAGTTATAGAATGGCTGCAATAGGCGTCAATGCCGAGTTGACCTCTTGAGGTCACCGAGGTCACCTGGGGTCACGAGCTTCAAAACGGCTGATAAAATCGTACCACCTGATTCGAATGGTGTTTCGTTCGTTCCGATCGGTCCAGTAGTTCCTGAGTTATAGAATGGCTGCAAGGGTGGCGGTCGAATAGTGTTGTCCGCTATGAATGCCCCCCCCCCCCCCCCCAGTGGGGCGCGGGTTAAACAAAGTCGCTAGGCACAGCAGAGATCCCAAAAAGTAAACAAAAGTATAAAAGTCTAATAGGGTAGAGTGGGGCAAAGCGCCCAGGGCGGGTAAAACGCCCACCCCTCTTATTTGTCAAATGCTCGACTTTTCAAAGAATTCTTGATAAAGTCAGGGTCATGACATTTTCAGGGTAGGTGTAAAATTGATCAATGCGAGAGTACTGAAAGTTTCGTCGCGATCGGCCGCTTTTTACGCGAGTTATTCGCGAAAAACCTTAGGGGGGTGCATCAACCCCCCCCCCCCTGTGCCGTCGAGGGTTAACCCGCGCCCCACTGGGGTCTGTGTATAACACGCCCTACTGGGGGGGGGGGCTATTCATAGCCCCCCCTCCTAACTCCGAAACTACTGGGCCGATCGTCAAAATTCAAACGGCGTCTGATAGCCCAGGAAAAACTGTCCAGCGAAACCTAATTTCATTGACCTCGAGGTCACCGATGACGTCACAGGTCAGGTCAAAGTAAAAATTATTAGCACTTTGGCTTGTTCACATTTTGGGCTCTGGCCGCCGTCTTACAAGTCAGATCAGGCTCATTTTTGGTTTCCACACTCGTGAACAGATGCTCTAGATACCTTGAGGGTACCAAACTTGTACTTTGATTTTCAGGTCAGGGTCAGGTCATCACAGGTCACGAAAATATTATAGCATGCGTCGGTCACGTGACACATGTTTTATGGTCCATTTAGGCCATAGATTTCGAATTTGATGTCGTCTATGTCATTCGAGGTCATTTTGAGTCGAATTTAGCTTAGGTCAGGTCACTTTCAGGTCAAAAAAGGTCAAATTTTGAAGTTGAAATTTTTCAACAAAAAAGGTGTCTATTGGATGCAGTTTGAGCTCAGGAACACGATGGTGCCATTTATATTGGTGTACGATGCCAAATACGTACTGAAAAATTGATTTGAAAAGTTAATAATTGTGAATTTTTTGCAATAATGCGTATAACTTGGCCATTTTTGAAGATATTTAGCTAAAACTTGCTAGAGTTAGTCATAATCATGCGTTCTGTCACATATATTCCGGTTTTTTCGAAAAGTCAAAAACTTTTTGAAAAAAATATAAAAATATAAATTTTGAATATTATTATATAAAATTTTCGAAATTTTCAACATTTTGAAAATCCGAGATAGCAGTTTGATAGCGCGGTCAATTCTGAGTTCTTTCATGCAAAGAAATTGGATCTAGCTTAAAAACTAAGCTCTTGGGAGCGATTGCCGTGGTTCAATGTTTTGCGTCGAAATCGGACGAACATGACGTCACTCTGACGTCATTTCCGGCCGACCTATAGTAGCTACGAAGTTCAAATTTTGACACAAGGTGTCAAATTGATGCAGCCGAAGGTACTGAAAGTTTGGCGTCGATCCGTCAAGCGGTTTGGATGTTATTGCAGAAAAACGGGAGGGGGGCTATAAATAGCCCCCCCCCCAGTGGGGCGCGGGTTAAGCTTCAGCGTTGCACGAATCATAATAAATCACGATTATATGTGTTTGAGATAGGATTAACGCATTTTTCACTTTCATGAATGTTCATGAACATTCACGAACTGTTCTTGAACAGAGACATGTTCGTGATCACGTGACCTTGAATACAGGAATTCGTAGGCTATCAGATAAACAAGCAAACATTGTTCACGAACTGTTCATGAACAAATTTACAAACACCAAACCTGAAAACTTCCACACAATGTGCTAGATTGACGTATGCTAAGCTATGCTAAGTTTCGCGGCACTACATGCCGTGGTTTCCTCTAAATACGCATAAATCTGGCGGGTGTGGCCAAAAACGCCCCCTCCCCTCCGCTACCAGAACGTTAGGATTTATGGCGGTGGAATTCTGTGCTGGACTGCTGGGCTGGACTTCTGGACTGGAGTCGCCTCAGCGAGAGACACCTGGAAAGTGTTGCGGCTTGAAAGAAAAAAATCGCCGTTCCCGGCTCAAGGAACAGTATTTGTGGTGTCAAGTTGTTGTTACGATAAAAATCACAAACAGATATCTAAAAGCATACACACATCCAACACCTTCAAAAGATACCAGCGTTCAACAAAACTAGATGAGTAATGATTAGACAATTGACTCAGTTCCACATATATTACTCACCGCACCAGCACACCACTTCGGCACAGCACGACCATCGTAAATTAGCAGCAACGACTGTCAGTGACGAACGATGCAATGGGATTGGGCCGAGCAACTATGGCATGACTCAACAAAAATGAGTGATAATTTTCCTCATATGCGTTCATCAATATTACAAACATAACAACCGGATAGGTGGGCATGTACCAAAATCCATTGATATTCCTAGTACAGCAAACCATACAAAGTAGTTTGCAAAAGAAATAAATACTATTGTTTGCAGACAATTATCAGATACTATTGCCACTACTGGTATCCATAGGGACTGATCAATAGGGAAACCAGTCCACCTGGGAAGCAGCCACTCAGAACAGGAGGAGGGGCGCCTCAGGCAGCCGCCGCGAGCCCCCACCGCTCAGCCCCTCACTCAGGGCGGGGTCAGGATACAGGGTTCACCTCAGGCGGCCGCGTGGCCCCACCGCTCAGCCCCTCACTCAGGGCGGGGTCAGGACACAGGGTTCTCCTCAGGCGGCCGCGTGGCCCCACCGCTCGGCGCGCTCGTTCTCCTTGATGTCGTCGATGATGAACTGCACCACGTTGGAGGTGGTTTGGCTGCCGCCGGCGTCCGGCGTCAGGATGCGCTCGCCGATGGCCCGGTCGATGGCGCTCCTGATGAGCGCCTCGTGCTGGTCGAGCGCCAGGTGGCTGAGCAGGTCGCAGGCCGCGTTCAGCATGGCCAGCGGGTTGGCGATGTTCATGCCGACCATGCCGCTGCCCGTGTTGCGGGTGCCCGGCTCGAACACGGCGTACTCGGTGCCGTAGTTGCGGCCGGACATGATGCCGGGCCCTCCGGCCAGGCCGCACGCCACGTTGGACACCACTGTGCCGTACAGGTTGGGCATCACCATCACGTCAAACTGCTCTGGGCGGGAGACCATCTGCATGCAGCAGTTGTCCACAATCATCCCGCTGAACTCAATAGAAGGGTACTCCTTGGAGATGCGCTTCATGGTCTCCAAGAAGAGGCCATCAGATAGCTTCATGATGTTGGCCTTGTGGATGGCTGTCACCTTCTTCCTGCCGTGCTCCATGGCGTAGCCAAAGGTGAAGCGAGCCAGGCGCTCACAGTTGGAGAGGGTGATCACCTTCAGGCTCTCAATCACCCCTGGAACATTCTCATGCTCCATCATGGCATACTCTCCCTCTGTGTTCTGCCTGATTATGACAATGTCAATGTCAGGGTGGCGGGTGGGAACTGTGGCATGGGAGCGGCAGTGCAGCACATATGCAAAGAGATCCAGCTGGTTGCGCAGCTCCACATTGTGAGAAATGGTGCCAGGCAGATTGGAGCGTGATTCAATGTTCCCCTTGATTGCCACCCCATTGCGGCGGATGGATGTGATGGCAGCCTTCATGGAGGCAGCATCATCACCACTGGTGTCCACATTTATCTCTTCAAAGTCAACAGGTACACCTGCATACCTGAACACTTCCTTCACATGGTTCATCATCTCTGGTCCGATTCCAGCTCCGGGAAGCATCGATACTGTGTACCGACCACCATACTTTGCCAGTACGCTTTTTGAGCCAAAATTCCTTTGATGTATATCACCTCCAAATGTGTTGATGGCAAGGGCCCGAGCACCAGAAAAAGTGCGCGACGATCGCAAAATAAAGCTACGAGCAAGCGATGCAGCCGCCATTTCCTGCCACTGCACAAATACTTTCAGAAATAAGTAGTCACTCAACACAGCTTACTCCTATTGTTTCCGCTTCCTACGCTCCTTATCACGTTATCTTCCCTGTGGTTTTGATTATCTGTAAGAATCTTGGTTTTGATAAAGCCTGTAAATATACCATACCAGTGATACACCACTGTGTGCAATGAAAAAGAAAAATTTGATTGTCCCTACAGCGCCGTTTATGAGTCGCTCGTGAATCTAAAACGCTGCAATTTTTTGACAATACTACTCGGCCGCCAACACGGACGCTGACGTATAAATAAATTGATGGACAGTCAGTTAATTGACTGGACTGACTGTAAGAATCTTGGAACTGACAATCTCAATAGGCAATGGACCTCCCAATGCAGTACAAATGATAGCAGACAGCAGTAGTTTCCCCTACCAAAGTGGTGGTTTTCAACCACAAATGCTCGTCGAGGTCGGAATTTCCAAATACGCCTTGCTGACGGCTATCAATTCAGCAGCAACGAATATCAGTCTCACAGCAGCATATTTCGGGGTCTTTCGATTTGGCTGAAAATCGGTATACAGGGCCTCCTCGATGCGCTGATTCCGAAAATGTACCTCTTTGGGGTGGTATTTTGCACCGTTAACGAGTTAACGACCAATTAACATTTTAACGGGAAACGGCGGGGTCTCTCGATTTGGATGAAAATCGGTATATAGGGCCTCCTCGATGCGCTGATTCCGAAAATGTACCTCTTTGGGGTGGTATTTTGCACCGTTAACGAGTTAACGGCCAATAAACATTTTAACGGGAAACGGCGGGGTCTTTTGATTTGGCTGAAAATCAATGTATAGGGCCTTCTCGATGCGCTGATTCCGAAAATGTACCTCTTTGGGGTGGTAATTTGCACCGTTAACGAGTTAACGACCAATTAACATTTTAACGGGAAACGGCGGGGTCTTTTGATTTGGCTGAAAATCAGTATACAGGGCCTCCTCGATGCGCTGATAACGAAAATATACCTCTTTAGGGTGATATTTTGCACCGTTAACGAGTTAACGACCAAATAACATTTTAACGGGAAACGGCGGGGTCTTTCGATTTGGCTGAAAACCGGTATACAGGGCCTCCTCGTTGCGCTGATTTCGAAAATGTGCCTCTTTGGGGTGGTATTTTGCACCGTTAACGAGTTAATGACCCGTTAACATTTCAGCAGCATATCGATTTCAGCAGCAAATTTTCGGGGTCTTTCGATTTGGCTGAAAATCGGTATACAGGGCCTCCTCGATACGCTGATTCCGAATATGTACCTCTTTGGGGTGGTATTTTGCACCGTTAACGAGTTAACAGCCAATTAACATTTTAACGGGAAACGGCGGGGTCTTTCGTTTTGGCTGAAAATCGATGTACAGGGCCTTCTCAATGCGCTGATTCCGAAAATGTACCTCTTTGGGATGGTATTTTGCACCGTTAACGAGTTAACGACCAATTAACATTTTAACGGGAAACGGCGGGGTCTTTCGATTTGACTGAAAATCAGTATACAGGGCCTCCTTAATTCGCTGATTACGGAAATGTACCTCTTTAGGGTGGTATTTTGCACCGTTAACGAGTTAACGACCAAATAACATTTTAACGGGAAACGGCGGGTCTTTCGATTTGGCTGAAAACCGGTATACAGGGCCTCCTCGATGCGCAGATTTCGGGATTGTGCCTTTTTGGGGTGGTATTTTGCACCGTTAACGAGTTAACGATCCGCTAACATTGCAGCAGCATCCATCGATTTCAGCAACAAATTTTCGGGGTCTTTTGAATTGGCTGAAAATCGGTGTACGGGGCCTCCTCAATGCGCTGATTCCGAAAATGTACCTCTTTGGGGTAGTATTTTGGACCGTTAACGAGTTAACGGCCAAATATCATTTTAACGGGAAACGGCGGGGTCTTTCGATTTGGCTGAAAATCAGTGTACAGGGCCTTGTCAATGCGCTGATTCCGAAAATGTACCTCTTTGGGGTGGTATTTCGCACCGTTAACGAGTTAACGAGCAAATAACATTTTAACGGGAAACGGCGGGGTCTTTCGATTTGGCTGAAAACCGGTATACAGGGCCTCCTCGGTGCGCTGATTTCGAAAATGTGACTCTGTGGGTTGGTATTTTGCGCCGTTAACGAGTTAACGACCAATAAATATTTTAACGGGAAACGGCGGGGTCTTTCGATTTGGCTGAAAATCAGTATACATGGCCTCCTCAATTCGCTGATTACGGAAATGTGCCTCTTTAGGGTGGTATTTTGCACCGTTAACGAGTTAACGACCAAATAACATTTTAACGGGAAACGGCGGGGTCTTTCGATTTGGCTGAAAACCGGTATACAGGGCCTCCTCGATGCGCTGATTTCGAAATTGTGCCTCTTTAGTCTTTCGGGTGGTATTTTGCACCGTTAACGAGTTAATGATCCGTTAATTTCAGCAGCAAATTTTCGGGGTCTTTTGATTTGGCTGAAAATCGGTGTACAGGGCCTCCTCGATGCGCTGATTCCGAAAATGTACCTTTTTGGGGTAGTATTTTGGACCGTTAACGAGTTAACGGCCAAATATCATTTTAACGGGAAACGGCGGGGTCTTTCGATTTGGCTGAAAACCGTTAGACAGGGCCTCCTCGATGCGCTGATTCCGAAAATGTACCTCTTTGGGGTGGTATTTTGCACCGTTAACGAGTTAACGGCCAATTAACATTTTAACGGGAAACGGCGGGGCCTCTCGATTTGGCTGAAAATCAGTGTACAGGGCTTTGGCGATGCGCTGATTCCGAAAATGTACCTCTTTGGGGTGGTATTTTGCACCTTTAACGAGTTAACGACCAAATAACCTTTTAACGGGAAACGGCGGGGTCTTTCGATTTGGCTGAAAACCGGTATACAGGGCCTCCTCGGTGCGCTGATTTCGAAAATTTGCCTCTTTGGGTGGGTATTTTGCACCGTTAACGAGTTAACAGCCAATTAACATTTTAACGGGAAACGGCGGGGTCTTTCGTTTTGGCTGAAAATCGATGTACAGGGCCTTCTCAATGCGCTGATTCCGAAAATGTACCTCTTTGGGATGGTATTTTGCACCGTTAACGAGTTAACGACCAATTAACATTTTAACGGGAAACGGCGGGGTCTTTCGATTTGACTGAAAATCAGTATACAGGGCCTCCTTAATTCGCTGATTACGGAAATGTACCTCTTTAGGGTGGTATTTTGCACCGTTAACGAGTTAACGACCAAATAACATTTTAACGGGAAACGGCGGGTCTTTCGATTTGGCTGAAAACCGGTATACAGGGCCTCCTCGATGCGCAGATTTCGGGATTGTGCCTTTTTGGGGTGGTATTTTGCACCGTTAACGAGTTAACGATCCGCTAACATTGCAGCAGCATCCATCGATTTCAGCAACAAATTTTCGGGGTCTTTTGAATTGGCTGAAAATCGGTGTACGGGGCCTCCTCAATGCGCTGATTCCGAAAATGTACCTCTTTGGGGTAGTATTTTGGACCGTTAACGAGTTAACGGCCAAATATCATTTTAACGGGAAACGGCGGGGTCTTTCGATTTGGCTGAAAATCAGTGTACAGGGCCTTGTCAATGCGCTGATTCCGAAAATGTACCTCTTTGGGGTGGTATTTCGCACCGTTAACGAGTTAACGAGCAAATAACATTTTAACGGGAAACGGCGGGGTCTTTCGATTTGGCTGAAAACCGGTATACAGGGCCTCCTCGGTGCGCTGATTTCGAAAATGTGACTCTGTGGGTTGGTATTTTGCGCCGTTAACGAGTTAACGACCAATTAATATTTTAACGGGAAACGGCGGGGTCTTTCGATTTGGCTGAAAATCAGTATACATGGCCTCCTCAATTCGCTGATTACGGAAATGTGCCTCTTTAGGGTGGTATTTTGCACCGTTAACGAGTTAACGACCAAATAACATTTTAACGGGAAACGGCGGGGTCTTTCGATTTGGCTGAAAACCGGTATACAGGGCCTCCTCGATGCGCTGATTTCGAAATTGTGCCTCTTTAGTCTTTCGGGTGGTATTTTGCACCGTTAACGAGTTAATGATCCGTTAATTTCAGCAGCAAATTTTCGGGGTCTTTTGATTTGGCTGAAAATCGGTGTACAGGGCCTCCTCGATGCGCTGATTCCGAAAATGTACCTTTTTGGGGTAGTATTTTGGACCGTTAACGAGTTAACGGCCAAATATCATTTTAACGGGAAACGGCGGGGTCTTTCGATTTGGCTGAAAACCGTTAGACAGGGCCTCCTCGATGCGCTGATTCCGAAAATGTACCTCTTTGGGGTGGTATTTTGCACCGTTAACGAGTTAACGGCCAATTAACATTTTAACGGGAAACGGCGGGGCCTCTCGATTTGGCTGAAAATCAGTGTACAGGGCTTTGGCGATGCGCTGATTCCGAAAATGTACCTCTTTGGGGTGGTATTTTGCACCTTTAACGAGTTAACGACCAAATAACCTTTTAACGGGAAACGGCGGGGTCTTTCGATTTGGCTGAAAACCGGTATACAGGGCCTCCTCGGTGCGCTGATTTCGAAAATTTGCCTCTTTGGGTGGGTATTTTGCACCGTTAACGAGTTAACGATCCGTTAACATTTAAGCAGCATATATTGATTTGAGCAGCAAATTTTTGGGGTTTTCGATTTGGCTGAAAAACAGTGTACAGGGCCTTTTCGATGCGCTGATTCCGAAAATGTACCTCTTTGGGGTGGTATTTTGCACCGTTAACGAGTTAACGACCAATTAACATTTTTACGGGAAACGGTGGGGTCTTTCGATTTGGCTGAAAAGCAATATACAGGGCCTCCTCGATGCGCTGATTACGATAATGTGCTCTTTAGGGTGGTATTTTGCACCATTAACGAGTTAACGACCAAATAACATTTTAACGGGAAATGGCGGGGTCTTTCGATTTGGCTGAAAATCAGTATACAGGGCCTCCTCGATGCGCTGATTCCGAAAATGTACCTCTTTGGGGTGGTATTTTGCACCGTTAACGAGTTAACGGCCAATTAACATTTTAACGGGAAACGGCGGTGTCTTTCAATTTGGCTGAAAATCGGTGTACAGGGCCTTCTCCATCGCTGATTCCGAAAATGTACTTCTTTGAGGTGGTATTTTGCACCGTTAAAGAGTTAACGACCAATTAACACATCAGACCCCGCCGTTTCCCGTTAAAATGTTTCAGACACTGCCGTTTCCCGTTAAAATGTTAATTGGTCGTTAACTCGTTACCGGTGCAAAATACCACCCAAAAAGGTACATTTTCGGAATCAGCACATCGAGGAGGCCCTGTATAACGATTTTCAGCCAAATCGAAAAACCCCGCCGTTTCCCGTTAAAATGTTAATTGGTCGTCAACTCGTTAACGGTCCAAAATACCACCCCCAAGAGGTACATTTTCGGAATCAGCGCATCGAGAAGGCCCGGCACACCGATTTTCAGCCAAATCGAAAGACCCCGCTGTTTCCCGTTAAAATGTTATTTGGCCGTTAACTCGTTAACGATGCAAAATACCACCCCAAAGAGATACCTTTTCGGAATCAGCGCATCGAGGATACCCTGTACACCGATTTTAAGCCAAATCGAAAGACCCCGAAAATTTGCTGCTGAAATCGATATAGGTATAATGCTGCTGAAATGGTAACGGATCGTTAACTCGTTAACGTTGCAAAATACCACCTCAAAGAGGTACATTTTCGAAATCAGCGCATCGAGAAGGCCCTGTACCTATACTGATTTTCAGCCAAATCGAAAGACCCCGCCGTTTCCCGTTAAAATGTTAATTGGTCGTTAACTCGTTAACAGTGCAAAATACCACCCCAAAGATGTACATTTTCGGAATCAGCGCATCGAGAAGGCCCTGTATACCGATTTTCAGCCAAATCGAAAGACCCCGCCGTTTCCCGTTAAAATGTTAGTTCGTCGTTAACTCGTTAAAGGGACCCTCCCACCTTCAAAAAAGGTAATGAATTGGCATGACAGTGATTTCACTCGGTTCAGAAAGAGCAAAAACGAATATCTACCAAATTTCACTAAAAAATATTCACCGGTTTTCAAGATATTATACTTTTACTTTTGTTTACTTTTTGGGATCTCCGCTGTTCCTAGCGACTTCATTTTGGAAGTGCGGCGTTTGCGGCAGATGTTGCGCGGAAATAGCATATACGCACCACTGCTTCACAAAGATGTTAGCATAAGGTTTTAAAATCGTTAGATCACCGCTGACGTCACAAATTCTAAGGGGGCATCCCAATGCATTAGCCCCTTAGAATCCGAAAACTGCAAGTTTGAAATTCCATATATCCGAATTAAAGCATTTTTCGATGTTGTGAGTGCCCAAACCGGTATTTGCAGGCCATGCCCAGTAAACATGCCGACGTCGGCCCAACGTCGGCCGACGTCGGGGTGACGTCGGCAACTCGGCATCGGCATGCCGACGTCGGCCCGACGTCGGTCCAACCTCGGCACGACGTCGGCTGGATGTCGGATATGCCTGCATGTTCCGACGTCCAGCCGAGGTCCAGCCGACGTCGGGCCGACGTCGGACCGAGATCAATTGCTGAGGTCCAGCCGACGTCGGGCCGACGTCGGGGCGACGTCGGACCGACATCGGCCGCTGTGTTGACCGTTAAAATAATATAAAATGCATGTTTCATGTTTCATAAAGAGCTTCTGTATTCAAAATATCCTCAGGAAACTCAAATCTTCCTCCACGCCGCAACCCCCTGATCCGGACTGGACGGGAAACTTTATCCCATTTGGGATTGCCCGTAAGCCGAGCTCGCCCGTAGCCGGGTGCGGTGAGTGCTTGGGGGCTGCTCGGCCTATCCTTTGGTCAGGCTCAGCCCCGGCAACTCACCAGGGCCGGGCCCAGTTCATATAGAAAGGCCAGTCGGCAAGTGTCACTTTGCCAAAGTGCCACTTATCAAAGGGACACTTTGGGAAACGTTGGTGCAGCCCTTTCCAATAAGTGTCACGTAACAGCAATGGGACCAGGGACTCTATATGAACTGGACCCAGGGTGCTCGCCAAGAAGACCAATGTCTCCATCCTATCATCCTTCCGGCTCTGAAATGGTCTTGTCAGACCGAAAGGGCATAACCCAACAAAACAAACTACATTTGCTATCTGGCTGCGTGGTGTAGTGGTTAGCGCACTAACCTCGCGTTCAAATGACACAGGGTTCGAATCCCATCGCCGGTTGATGCTTTTGGCGTGTTGACCCAGTAAACATGCCGACGTCGGCGACTGGGGGGCTCGAATCCCGCCGCCGGTTGATATTTTTTTGGCGCGTTGTCCCAATAAACATGCCGACGTCGGCCCCGTCGGTCCAACGACAAACGATCTCGTCAATCTCGGCAAACGACCTCGGCCCGACGTCGGCTCGACTTCGGCTGGACGTCGGAACATGCGGGCATATCCAACGTCCAGCCGATGTCGGGCCGAGGTTGAACCGACGTTGGGCCGACGTCGGGCCGAGCCTCGGGCCGACGTCGGGCCGACGTCGGCATGTTTACTGGGTGGCCACCAATTTGGCTATCTCAACTCAAAAATAATGTTAAGGTGGGATGGTCACTTTAACGGTGCAAAATACCACCCCAAAGAGGCACATTTTCGGAATCAGAGCATCGCGGAGGCCCTGTATACCGATTTTCAGCCAAATCGAGAGACCCCGAAATATGCTGCTGTGAGGCTGATATTCGTTGCTGCTGAATTGACAGATGTGCCTAGATGTGCCTTGCTGCCATTTTGCTGCCTTCAATATGGCAGGAATTTACTACAATTCAAAAACTGCGCAAAGACGACGAACGTGACGCAAGGAACCTTTTTTATATCAGGGCCCTGTTTCACCGGTGATAGCAGCACGCCACTATCAAATTGCGCGAGCTGACGTAATGTGATGACGTCATACTGCTGACGTAAGGGGCAATTCTGGCGCACGATTGCCGCAATATTGTTTTACGTCATCAGCTAAATGTTCGAAGTTAATGTCCAAATTTCTCCTAAACCCAACTTCTTTTAAATACATCATATTAAAAAAATATATATCAAAAATATATTTACTATCATGACTGCGTAAACTCTTACTTTTAGGTTCATACGTCACTTAATGCCGCCGCCAAGGTCGCGGCAATCGTGCGCCGGAACTACCCATTACGACAACAGTATGGCGTCACGACATGACGTCAGCTCGCGAAACGTGATAGCAGCTTGCTGCTATCACCGGTGAAACAGGGCCCCGGTTAGCACCTTGGTCCACTGGATGTGGTGCTTAAAGGGACACTCCCACCTTAACATTAGTTTTGAGTTGAGATGGCCAAATTGGTGGCCATGGCCTGCAAATACCGGTTTGGGCACTCACAACATCGACAAATACTTTAATTCGGAGATATGGAATTTCAAACTTGCAGTTTTCGGATTCTAAGGGCTAGTGCATTGGTATGCCCCCTTAGAATTTGTGACGTCAGCGGAGATCTAACGATTTTTAACTCTTTTACTAAAACGTTTGGTAGCACGCGGTGGTGTATGCTGCTTTGCGCGCAACAAATGCCGCACTTTCAAATAAAGTCGCTAGGAACAGCGGAGATCCCAAAAAGTAAACAAAAGTAAAAGTCTAATATCTTGAAAACCGGTGAATATTTTTCGATGAAATTTGGTAGATATTCGTTTTCGCTCTTTCTGAACCGAGCGACATCACTTTCGTGCCAATTCATTAACTTTTTTGAAGGTGGGAGGGTCCCTTTAACCCAAACCAACCAACCAACCTATATCTGTATAGCCTTGGTTTGATTAGCGCAATATGATTAGTGGGATCAGTGGTTTGATGTTTGATGCTAGTGGATGTAGCTGCTTAAAAAAAAGAATTTTAGTTCCAATGTGTATAACAGGAAGAAGAAAATATCTGGTAGAAAATAACATGTGTGATGTGAGCTTCCCACGAGCTATTTGATGCTACCCAGAAACCTGTTTCAGCCCCGGCAGAATATTCTGCCAGGTTGAGGTGTGATGTGACACGGAACTTTCAGTACCTACCGTACTCTTGTGTTTGTTAACTTACTCTGTGTTTAAGTGCCTTGTGTATTCATGCGTGGCATCATGGAAGACGCTCGATTTCAGCCTTCATACTTCATAATCTTCCTCAGACAAGGACTTAACTTTGGCTGGTGGATCTAGGATTCAGGGTTCCTGTTCCTCATACTCACTTCTCACTTCCTTCCTGACTTCCTAAACGACACTGGGAACCCAACCAGGTGACTTAACCAGGTGAGTTAACATCACATGTCTGGTGACATCGCAGTCCTCGGATGGCAGAATATGTCATGAAACACTCCGGCAGAATATTCTGCCGGCCAGCGAAATGAGAAAATCGTCTTTCATCAGTGCAAAACAATGTCACACGAAAGCCACTAGAAAATAACACACTTATGTGTTTCTCAAATATTCTGTAGGTGAGTAGGTACCTAACTCACCAATTCACGCTATTACACCTCCCAATACATCCCTGCAAGGAAGAAACACGCTACCTACAATTCAATCATTTGATGCTCCACGTTGAGTAGCAAAACCAACGGAATCACGAAAATCTGTTATGCCATTTTGTGGCAGAATATTCTGCAGTGGCGTCATACGTTAGAAGCTCAGCTCCTTGTTCCGCCCACTGTTGCCTACCTACTGCGCATGCCTCATGGAATAATATTCCATAATATTTCACGTTGAAACAGGCTTCATGTTACCTACTTTTCATATTGTATATTGTTACTTTTAAACTTGTTTGTGCAATTTGCCATGATTATCAGATATGAAATGAGGTCAAATGATATCAGTAAGTAAATTGGTGATTGGTTGTACCTAAAGTAAATAAATACTGATTTATTTTTATAGGCATAAATCAATGTTGAACTAGGTTGAATACAATTTGTGTGTGTTTTTTTATGATAATTAATGACAATAACTGCATTAGGCATTTAATTTTAATTTATATTATTCATCAGGTTAATGTATTTATGGTCCAACACATGAGCTAAGCCAGGGCATGGGTACCTAAGTAGTGTTGAGGTTGGCATGCTTTCACCATGGGATAGGTAGTAAAGTTGAATAAATTGCCTAATCTATGACATACCATTTTTCAGAAATGAGCAAACGGAAGCTGCAGCCTAGTGCTTCAAATCCAAATCAGGATTATTGTGAATTTTTACTTGGTGAGTATTCATAGCTTTGTTATCAGAACCTACTCATTGCTTGGCTTCATAGGGAAGTAAGCTGAGATAAGGGCGCTCTATTAGTTGATCCAGTAACCTCATCACCTTCCTCAGGGTCCTGTGTCAAACCATGCCTGATTGGGGGTTGGGGTGTCTGGACACCCCCTCTGGTTTTTGCAGATATCTTTTCTGCACATTTTAAAAAATTTCAGATCCAGGTCCCCTAAGGTCAGGTTGCTAGGTCACATCAAGTGACTTTACATCAGAAAAGGTCAGAATGCTCACCATAGCTACACTGACTGAGGGCTGAATGATCACTTTGAAACTTTCAGTAGGTAATTGACAAGGAACAGCAGTACCTATGTATGAAATGTATAAATTTGACATCAGTGGCCAAAGTTCAGGTCATTTTTGCACCCTATCCTTAATAAGTCAATGGAAGAAAGTTTAAACGCACTTCTTTTGGAGTAGCATCATTCTAAATACTCCCAAAATAAAATGTTAAATGTTGTTTCTGGATACAAGTTCTTCAACAATGTTGTTCTCGGTGCAATATCATATCTGCATGCATAGGTACCCAATGTAAGAAAACCAAAAGCCAGAAGGAAAATTTACATTTGTATATACGTATTTCGGACCGGTTTCAGTGCATTCCAGCATCATCATCAGCGATAAAATCACATCAGCGTAGAGCGTACATCAGCGTACATCAGCGTACATCAGCGTAGATCAGCGTAAATCACAAAAGAAGTAGAGAAAAACGGAACACTTGCTTTCTTGGATGTCAATATCTCTAAGGATGGGTCACGCTTGAGTACCTCTGTATACCGTAAACCATCGTTCACTGGTCTAGGTCTCAGTTTCTTCAGTAGTATTCCAAAGACTGTCAAGTTCTCAGTGATTAAGTCTTCCATCTTCCGAGCTTTCACGCTCTGCTCGAACTATAAGTTGTTCGATAACGAATTAAGCTTTCTAAAAACCTTCTTTAGAAACAATGGGTTTCCCGCCTACCTTGTCAACTTGTGCATCAAGAATTTCTTAAACCAGAAATACTCAAACACGCTACCCCTCTTCAACGTGCCAAAACTCAAAAGATATTTTGTACTTCCCTACTTTGGTGAACAGTCCCTGGGTATGCAAAAAGAAATGGTTGATCTCAGGGATGCGGAGCCGGAGCCGGAGTCGGAGCCGGAGCCGCCGGAGCCGGCATATTTTGCCCGGAGCCGGAGCCGGAGCCGGAGCCGTGAAACAATATAGACCGGAGCCGGAGCCGGAGCCGGAGCCGCCAAAAAAGGGGGCGACTCCGGCTCCTTTTTATTTTTTGAAGAGGAAAAAAAATAATTGACCTAGTTCGGTTTGACAGTACAAGGCAGTGAAACATATGGTATGTACTTACGTCATGTGCCATCAAGTGAATGAAAAAAGCCGAATATCCCCAGTATCCCACAGTACGCAATCAACTTCCTGTCTGCTCCTCCCCCCCCCCCCCACGTCTACTGCATCCCCAGAACATGAGGACCGGTCATCAGGTGACGGCCATTGTTTTCAAGCCAGTGCAGTGGACTGCGACTCCCAGCACCGTCCGTGCCGAGACGGGTGTCAGCTTACGATGGTTCAGTGAACTCCGATTCGCGGCGACTGCGTTTCCAATGCCATCGCTTCCTAGTCCCTTGTTGTGCCAGTTCTCTCCGAGGTGCGTTTGCGCGGGGACGCGGTCATGAGCCGGTCATGGCAAAGAGTAACGCGTATAACCAATCCATTTTTTCTTCCATCCGTATTTAATTGATTGCATAGGGGATGTACTGAGTCGGAGCCGGAGCCGCCGGAGCCGGAGCCGCCGGAGCCGCCGGAGCCGGACCATTTTACTCGGAGCCGGAGCCGGAGCCGGAGCCGCCATAACATTTCACCCGGAGCCGGAGCCGGAGCCGGAGCCGATTTTTTTCTCCGGAGCCGGAGCCGGAGCCGGAGCCGTCTGAAATTTCCACGGCTCCGCATCCCTGGTTGATCTACTGTCTAACTATTATCCGTATCTTGACCCCAGAATTGTTCTCCGTAACACATTAACTGTCGGCTCATTTTTCCATTTCAAGGATAGAGTCCCCAAGGCCTGCCGCTCTGGTGTTGTCTATAAATATTGTTGCTCCTCGTGTGGGGAGGCGTACATCGGTTCCACCCTTGTCCGACTTAAAACCAGAGTAGCGCAACACCTTGGGGTTTCTGACCGAACTGGAGAAATGGCTTTAACTCCCAGACAGTCTTCTATACGCGATCACAAACAGACCTGTGATTCACCTGTAACCATCGCTGATTTTACTATCATTGCCAGAAGTAGTATAGAGGTTGACCTACGGCTGCTGGAATCTTTGCACATTCATGAGAACAAACCTGCTCTGAATAATAAGTTCTCAGCAGTACCCCTCTATGTAGTTACTTAGTACAAACAGTGGGCGCTCATTCTTGTATGGAGTACACCAAAGTGTTATGCATGTGATGTACTTTTGTCGTGTATCGCTTTTCAAGGAAGATTTGAAAAATGTGTCACGAACTATGATGTTAATGCGAATTCGAATTGTTAACGATGTAAGTGAAACGATAAGTGTTTGTTTTATGTGATTTTATCGCTGATGTGATTTTATCGCTGATGATGATGCTGGAATGCACTGAAACCGGTCCGGAAAATTTACATACTAAGGACCTTAGCCTTTGCGATTATGCCTTTCACTCGATACGAGTGGGACCCATAGGCCGTGTAGCCTCATAAACCTGATGGCACTAGTATGCACTGCAGCTGAAAACAAAAACAAAAACGAGCTGTGGAAAAAGTACCTACACCTGCGCAAATAATCCAATTTATTTATCCCGATTTAGAGTGTCTCGCAACAAACTAAGAAATCTAACCAGAAAGCTTCGCCACGATTTTGAGCTCAGGCTGGGCGCTGATTTTAGAAATAATCCAAAGGCCTTCTGGCGCTATTCCAACACTCGCCTCAAAACAAAGACATCCTTAGGGAATCTTCGCTCTGCCTCAGGGGGGTTGGCCACATCAAAGAGTACAAGGCAGATGTTCTCAACTCCTTTTTTTGAAGTGTCTTCACTCGAGAAGCTCTTGACGATATGCCAACCTTGCCAACTAGAGAGTGGATTCCAGAGTTAGCGGACATTACCATCACTGCCTCGGTTGTAGAACGCAAACTGTCGGCATTAAACCCATGCAGTTCTCCCGGGCCCGATGGCACACATCCGTGTGTCCTACATGAAGCCCGTCAGGCTCTATGCAGACCACTTTCCTTGCTCTACGGTCGTTCAATTGACGCGGGCACGGTACCTGACGAGTGGAAGCTAGGAAGGGTGACACCCATTTTCAAAAAGACACAAATCTGATCCGAGTAATTATCGTCCAGCTAGCCTCACCGCCGTGACGTGCTAAGTTCTCGAATCCATCATACGTGACAGAATTCTGCAGCACTTGACAGAGGCTGACCTCCTATCTGACGATCAACATGGATTCCGGCCGAGGCGTTCACGGGCGACGAGTATACTTTTGTGTCGTCACTCGTCCGCGAACATTTTGATAAGGCCCTGAACACTTGAACAGCATTTGGTAAATCATTGACGTAAACGAGAAAGTAATGGGCCCAAGACAGATCCTTGTGGGACGCCACTATGGACGGCCGTCCATTCTGAGGAGCATCCCTGGACAACTACTTGTTCTTTCCTGCCACTGAGAAAAGACTTTCCATGCCAGCAGTCTGCCAGGCACGCCGTAGGTTTGTGGAGCAAGCGCTGGTGAGGGACAGAGTCAAAGGCTTCGCAAAAGTCTAAGTAAAGCACGTCTATTGGAGTCTGATCCTCAAACGATTTGCTCCAGTGTCCCAGGGCCCCTAATAACTAGATGGGTGCTGCATGAACCGTCGTCGATCTCTTCGCCTTGTAACAACTCACAGCTCCAAGCCGGACCTGGTCGTTTTAGTCAAATGGTCCGACACTTGCCAGCTCTCATTTAATGAGAGGAAATGCAAGGTTCCACACATGGGGCGCGCGAACGAGGACCACCAATACACGATCAGGGGAAATTCAATGTGCGACATTTCGCTAGATCGTGACCTAGGGATCCACATCGACTCGGAGCTGAAGTTCCGCCAACATGCGTCAGTGGTCGTTTCCAAAGCTACTCAGGTGCTTTCTGTCATTCGGCGCTCCTTTACCTTGCTAGACTGTTTCACGCTTCCCCTTTTATATAGGGCGCTAGTTCGTCCACACCTCGAATTCGACAACCTCGTTTCGGGTCCGTTCAACCGCGCGGACCAGAAACTGCTGCAGAAAGGGTACAACGAAGCGCGACACGTATGGTATCCAGCATCAGACACTTAAACTACGAAGAAAGCCTGTCGAAGCTACGTCTTCCATCACTTTACTATATGCGCAAGCGAGGCGACATGATTTTTCTGTACCAATTGTTCAATGGTGGAGTTGATATCAGTCCAGACAACTTATTCACGCGAGTCGCAAACAGTTACATTCGAGGCCACCCATTCCAGAGCGGTACCTGCAAAGCGAGGAGGTCGGCCATCTCTGTTCGCGCCGTGAATGACTGGAACTCGCTCCCTGCCGAAGTCGAATGCTCGGCATCGCTAAACACCTTCAAAGCGAGCCTGGATGCCCACTGGGCCCATCTCTGGTAGTACCTAGGCCCGGTACCTCCTGTGAACATTTTCCGTTTTATTGGTGGTTGTTGGGTGTGGGCTGAATGCGTATTGGCGTTTTTTTATAGCGTCAGAGGTGTAAGGTGCCTAATTAGCGACCCTTTCCGATTTGCGACCTACCTCCTTACAGAAAAAAAAACTGGCATGAGAAAACGGGATAAAAACATCGTCAAAAGGTCAGCCATACTTTGCTTATCAAATTAAATTATTTTACGGTTGTCGATGTTTCTGGTGGGACGTTTCAGGTGAGTTTAAATAAAAATGACGAGTTTCTTATCTAAAACGTGTGTGTTTGGG